CGGTGTATCAAGCAAATGAGCTACAGCTGTGACAGTTTAGCATTTTCTTTGAAACATATGGCTACTTGAGATAATGGGAGAAAGGAGCCAGCAAGTCTAGATCCATTCCAAAGGCCATGAGGGGTTTTAGACCCTGGACCCTGGACATGTTCCAAGCCCTGCCTCAGCTTCTCTCCCAACACTCAGCTTTTCTCCCAACACTGTGGACACATCCTGTCTAGCATCATCCTACAGTGTTTATTGGTGACCTGATATGCATAACACATTGTGCGAGAACAGACAGAGAGGATAGTCATTTGGTTTTACAGACTGGTTACGAAGATTAAGACAAAAAACAAATAGGTGAAATTTATGAACCTAATGTTGAGAAAATAAAGCAAGTTCCGGGAGAATATATACAGTGAGATCCCATTTCTGTTAGTTCAGAAACAAGCAAAAATAAATCTATCACTAGGGATTCACATGTAGTGAAACTGTAGAGGAAAACAAGGAAAGGAAACACACAAAATGGAGGATCATGGATATGGTGAAGGGCAGGGTTAGTTATTTACACATTTTGCACATATTAAATCATGTTTGTGTAGATGTTTAATGAAAATCATGGGCGAAAGGAGAACCTGCAGTACAGAGGAGTGAAGAAAGCCAAACCAACCACAGTGGATAGGACCTAGTGATCTGCTTTCCAATTTTGAGATAGCTGATCTTCTACCAGTCCCACTCTTTTGTCTAAGATGACAGTGCCAACGATGTTGGTCTTCTGTGTGCCACCTTCTCCAAAAGGATTGAATAGCCTGGAAGACAAAAGGTTAGCCATTGTCATTGTGACAGTCCAACTCTTTGGGGACCTGGAGAAGGCTTAGGGCAGGGGTGTCCAACCTTTTGGCTTCCCTGGACCACATTGGAAGAAGAACTGTCTTGGGCCACACATAAAACACCCTAACACTAATGATAGCTGATGAGCTAAAAAACAAACAAAAAATCTAAACAAAACAAAACAACTTGCAAAAAAAATCTCATAATGCTTTAAGAAAGTTTACAAATTTGTGTCGGGCTGCATGTGGTCCATAGGCTGTGGGTTGGACAAGCTTGGCATAGGGTGACATAATTTCATGCATGGAGACAATGTCTTTAACAACATGACTGGTTCATGCATTGTGGTAGAAAGAGGTGCCTTTAATCGTTGAACAAATGAACCCTTGATAGCTGCTGCACCATTAGGATGTCCTGATCCAACATCGAGGTTGTAAACCCTATTGTCGATATGGACTCTGGAATAGGATTGCGCTGTTATCCCTAGGGTAACTTGTTCCATTGGTCAAGTTATTGGATCAATTGCAGGTGCTAGTCTGCTTTGGCTTGTGTAGTCTTAGCATAGGTTGTTCAGAGGTTTAATTATGCTCCAAGGTCACCCCAACCAAAATTTTTAATGCAGGTGTAGTTGGTATAAGGGTCCGTAGATTTATATAGTTTTGGTTGCATTAATAAATTAAAGCTCCATAGGGTCTTCTCGTCTTACTGTTTCATGCCCGCCTCTTCACGGGCAGGTCAATTTCACTGGTTGAAAGTAAGAGACAGTTGAACCCTCGTGGTGCCATTCATGCGAGTCCCCATTTAAGGAACAAGTGATTATGCTACCTTCTCCCATTAATAGGTATCCTCCTGGCAGCAACAGGAAAATCAGCTCAATTTGGCCTTCACCCTTCACTACCTTCCGCCATGGAAGGCCCAACCCCAGTCTCAGCTTTACTCCATTCTAGCACGATAGTTGTTGCTGGAGTATTCTTACTCATCTGCTTCCACCCTCTAATAGAAAATAACACATTAATCCAAAGCCTTACGCTATGCCTACATATCAGGTAGCACTTTGGAAACTCAGCCCAGAAATCTCCTTAGCAAGGTCACTGAGTTCATGAAGTACACTTTTTATTTTCCACATTACAGAAGGCAATGGCAACAGTGTTGTCAAACTTTTCTGTGTAACTGGAGTCCCTTTCCTCTCTCTGAATAACATTTCCCTCACTTTAAGTCCTCACCCCCAGTCTCCTGCACCGTTACTAACATGCTCCCAGAGGCGTTTCTGGCTTATATCTGCTGCCCAGTCCCAAAGCCAGTGCTGTGTGTTATGGTGTCATCAGTACTCCACTTCCGGGTACAAAAATCTGTCCTCATTATTGCTTGTTGCATAACAAACCATCCCAAAACGTAGATCTTAAAACAACATTTCTTTATCTCTGGAATATTACATAGGGGTGGATGTTCAAATGGGGCTGGAAGATCCACTTCCAAGACGTCTTGCTTAGATAGAGCAAGATGGAGGCCAAAATGGCTGCCAAGTTGTGCCTGTTGCTGGCTGGGAGCTTGGCGGAAGCTGAGGGCTGGAGGCTGGAATCCTCTGCGTGGGCCTCTCTGGAGCTGCATCTCCATGGCATAGTGCCTGCATTCCGCAAGGAAGCATCACAAGAAAAACAAAACGGAAATTGCTAATTTCTTAAGACTTGAGTCCAGAAATGGCCATGACATCACTTTTGTTTTGATCAAAAAATTACAGAGCCCAAATTCTAAAGGAAGGGACATAGGCTCTACCTCTCATTAAAAGAAGCGCCAAAGAATTTGGGGATTATGTTTTAAAATTGCCATTGCCATGCTCTATATTATATATTCATATTACAAGTGAGGACACTAAGGTACAGCAACACTAAAAAACACTTTCCAAGGGTCCAGTGGTGAGTCAGGACCAGAATTTTTGGATTCATATCCTGCACTTATCAACTGTTCATTTATTCTACATGTACTTACTGAGCACCTACTATGTGCTGGTCACTGTGCTAGGTCCCAAGAATTAAATATTAAACAAGAGCTTGGTGAGGTGGCTCACACCTGTAATTCCAGTACTTTGGGAGGCTGAGGTGGGCCGATCACTCAAACTCAGGAGTTCGAGACCAGCCTGGGCAAGACCCCATCTCTAAAAAATTAGCCAGGTGTGGTAGTGCATGCCTGTAGTCCCAGCTATTCAGGAGGCTGAGGCAGGAGAATCACTTGACCCCAGGAGGTGGAGGTTGCAGTCAGCTGAGATTGTGCCATTGCACTCCAGCCTGGATGACAGAGTGAGAGTCTGTCTCAAAAACAAACACACAAGAGAGGCAAGGTTCCTGCCCTCTTAGATGCTTATATTTAAAGGCAGATGTAGACCAATGAACAGGGAAGCACCCTAGTGTGATAAATGGTACCAGCTTACTATGGCAGCTCAGAAAAAGACCCTTGTCCCAGATGTGGGAGTTTAGGGAAGGCTTCCTGGATAAAGTAAGATCTCTGCTGAAGCCTGAAGAAAAGGCGGCATTGACAGAGGAAAGGGGTGGGAGAGCAGCCAATGAGCTGTTCCATGCAGAGGGAACAGCACAGGCAAAATTCAGAGTCTAGAGAAAGATTGGGATGTTCAGGAGCTAAGAGGAGTTTAATATGGATGGAGGGAAGAATGAATGAGTGATAGAATATGAGGGGAAAGGGGAATTGGAAATAAATAAAAGCAGAGAGGTAGAGGAGGTACCTGATTATGGTTGGCCTTATAAAGCATATTGAAAAATTAGAACTGAAATTCTGAAGGCCAAAAAAAACATTATAGGGTTTCAGCAGGAGCTTAACATCATCAGTCTTGTGTCACAGGAAGCATGCTCTGAATGAATTCACAGGGAGAAGGCCCAAAGGCTGAGACCAGGAAGGAGCCTGCTGCTGTATTCTGTAAGAGCCATAATAATGGCTTAGACCGAGATGGAGACCAGTGTGGTGGTAACAGTGATGGAGACAAGTGATTGAAACTCAGACATATCTAGGAAGCAGAAAAAAAAGACTTACTACTTTCTCAGGTGCGAGAGAGGAAAGGGTCTAGAATGACTCCAGCTATCAGTCTTGGGCAACTGAAGGAATATCCTTTGCTAAAATGGGGAACCCAGGAGGAGAAACCAATCTAGAGAGAAGGATGCTGAACTCAGTTCTAGACAAGTTTAAGTTTGGGGAAGATCATTTGATATCCAAGTTCACATTTCAGGGAAGCAGTTGGATATGTGAGCCTGAGATAGACACATTTGTCATTTACCAGCATGTACGTAGAAGTTGCAAGTGGTCAGTGCCTAGAACAATGCCTAGCACAGCATGGGCACTCAATAAATGTTGAATGAAAGTGATTGAGATCACTCAGAGAGATGGGAAGACAAACCAGGACAGACTCTGGAATGGACTTAATATTAAAGAAGAGGCGCGTGAGAGGACGAGAAAGAAACAATGAGAACTTTGGGTGGTATCACAGTTGCCAAAGGAAGGCAACATTTCAAGAAGGAAGGATGGTCACAGGAGAGTTGAGAGTGGTCAAATAAAAACCAGGGTTGGGTGCAGTGGCTTATGCTTACAATCCCAGCACTTTGGGAGGCTGAGATGGGCAGATTGCTTGATCCCAGGAGTTTGAGACCAGCCTGGGCAACACAGCAAGACCTTTTATTTAAAAAAAAAAAAAAAAAAAAAAAAGGATAGGACTAAAGTGTAATGTATCTTCGGGCTAGGAGGATGTTGGTAGGGCCCTCATATGGTTGTGCAGGTAGCGCACTGCACAACACCAGCAGGCACCATGCACACTGCAGACATTGCAGATTGGTATACCTAAGATGACTATTTTCTGATAGATGGAAGCAAGTGTCTTGAAAAAGGGAAATGTTTTTCCAGTCTGCTTGAAAGCAATATATGGGCTTACCACAGGCCTGTTTTTTGCTGTCTCTGGTCAGAGTAAGTCACTTTCAGTTTTGGAGCTGAGCATAAACTCATTGTGTGGTGGGTGGAGGTATAAATAAATGGAAGGTAGGGAAGTGGGACTTGAACAAGTGCAGATATCTTAGTCTGTTTGTGCTGCTATAACAAAATCCCTGAGACTAGACAATTTATAAAGAACAGAATTTTGTTTGTTTGTTTGTTTGTTTGCTTTGTTTTGAGACAGAGTCTCCTCTGTCGCCCAGGCTGGAGTGCAATGGCAGGATCTTGGCTCACTGCAACCTCCACCTCCCAGGTTCAAGTGGTTCTCATGCTTCAGCCTCCTGAGTAGCTAGGATTGCAGGCTTGTACCATTACGCCTGGCTATTTTTGTATTTTTAGTAGAGACAGGGTTTCACCATGTTGGCCAGGCTAGTCTCAAACTCTTGGCTTTAAGTGATCTGCCTGCCTTGGCCTCCCAAAGTGCTGGGATTACAGGCATGAGCCACTGAGCCCAGCCCAGAAATTTATGTCTGGAAAGTCCCAGGTCAAGGTGCTGGCATTCAGTGTCTGGTAAAGGTCTTCTTGCTTGTCCCCATGTAATGGAAGAGCCGGGAGGGGCGGGGTGGAGTGGGGAAGGGCCTAATTCCCTGTAGCCCTTGTAGCCCTTTTATGAAGTCATAATCTGGCCAGGTGCTGTGATTCATGCCTATAATCCCAGCACTTTGGGAGTAAATCATGGGAGGATTGCTTGAGCCTAGGAGTTCGAAACCAGCCTGGACCACTTGGGAAGACCTTGTCTCTACAAAAAAATGTAAAAAATAGCTGGGCATGGCGGTGCACACCTATATCCCCAGCTACTTGGGAGGCTGAGGTGGGAGGCTCCCTTGAGGCCAGGAGGTTAAGGCTTCAGTGATTGTGCCACTGCACTCCAGCCTGGGAAACAGAGCAAGACTCTGACTCAAATAAACAAATAAAGTCATAACTCCCAATTAGAGCCCTCATGACTTAATCACCTCCTAAAGGCCCCACCCCTTAATACTAGCAAATTGGGGATTAAGTTTCAACATGAATTTTGGAAAAGACACAAACATTCAAACTGCAGCAGTAGACAGTGTTTTCTAGAAGTTTTGGCTGTGAGAAGATGAGAGATAGGGACATGAGGAAGAGGAGAGGCAAAACTAAAGAGTAGCGAAGTAATTTTAGGTTTTTTGTGCTTGTTTGTTTTACATCATGTGGAGGAGGCTAGAATATGTTGAACTAGTCCTGGGGAGGAGCCAGTAGAGAGAGAGATATCTAAAATACAGGAGAGGCCAGGTGCAATGGTTCATACCTATAATCCCAGCAGGAGGATCTCTTGAGTAGCTGTGATTCCAGCTACTCGGGAGGCTGAGGCAGGAGGATCCCTTGAACCCAACAGTTTGAGGTTGCAGTGAGCTATGATTGTGCCACTGCACTCCAGACAGAGCAAGACCCTGTCTCAAAAGATAAATAAAATAAAATACAAAAGAGAATGAGAAGGACAGTGAGAGTAAGAGTGAGAGAGAAATTAGTCTTGTCTTTTCTTTTCTTTTCTTTTGTTTTCTTTTCTTTTCTTCTGAGATGAAGTTTCGCTCTTGTTGTCCAGGCTAGAGTGCAGTGGCGTGATCTCGGCTCACTGCAACCTCTGCCTTCTGGTTTCAAGCGATTCTCCTGCTTCAGCCTCCCGAGTTGCTGGGATTATAGGCACCCGCCACCATGCCCGGCTAATTTTTGTATTTTTAGTAGAGATGGGGTTTCACCATGTTGGCCAGGCTGGTCTCAAACTCCTGACCTCGTGATCCGCCTGCCTCAGCCTCCCAAAGTGTTGAGATTACAGGTGTAAGCCACGCGCCCAGCCAAGGGATTAGTCTTATATTAGACGAGATGGTCCCAGAAAAATTCTCTGAGAAGGAGACATCTGAATGCCTGGAAGGAGCCTGCCCTGAGAAGGTGGGCAGAAGAGAACTCCAGGGAGGGGCACCGCCGGTGTGAAGGCCCCGAGGCAGTGCAGAGCCTGCATATTTGAGGAACAGAAAACTACAATTAATAAGTAAGTATGAGAGAGAGGAGCATTTCAGTCAGAGACACAGTCAGCCCAGATTAAATAGCAGGGGCTTGTGGTCCATGGTATTAAAAAAAAAAAAAAGGATTTCCCACTAGGCAAATCTGAGTCAATGCATGCATTAAAATTAATAATAATTGTTATGAATGTAAACTCTTTGAATAAAAGTTCATGAGCCTATGCCAATTCAAAGAAACAAGTAAACAAGGCAGAAGGGAAACAAGTGAACAAGGCAAACAAGTCGAATGTCAACCCATAAATATGGAAAGAATGAAGGCTCTAGACAATCATCAATGGATGCTAAAAAATAGTGACGAAAGTCTGATGTGGGACAGGATATTTACTTAGCATCAAAGTGTCCATACAAATTGTTTACAAAGGGTAAAACAGTAACTTTACTATAGAGGAAACTGACTGACACCACCTTAGCCACATGGTCAAAGTCATCGCCAGTGATGGGACAAACTGACACATGCACCTTCTTGAACTAAAATGAGAAGATATTTGCTGAATATCAGTGTGTTAAAGATCTATTTTTAAAAATAGGACTTCAGGATTTTACAGATTAAAATATTTTTAATTTTTTTGATGTCTGACAGAGAATTGTCCATTTCTTCCAAATAAGGACACAAGCTATTGCCATATCCTATTACCATTTTATTTCATCTTATTTTATTTTAATTCATCTTATTAATCTTACTTTATTTAACATATCTTTTGAATAATTAGTGCATCCATATGGTTCAAAACCCAAACATCTTAAAGAGGTATACAGTGAAATTCCTTTCTTTTCCAGCAGATGCCCAATTCCCTCCTTTGAATAAACCTTTTTCTCAATCCCAATTTCTTTGTGTATCCTTCCAAGAGTATCCCACGCATATACAAATACAGTTTTTTTCCCTCTCTCTTTTTTTTTGTTTTTGAGACAGAGTTTCTCTCTGTTGCCCTGGCTGGAGTGCCCAGGCACAAACATGGCTCACAGCAGCCTTGACCTCCTAGGCTCAAGCAATTGATCCTGTCTCGTCATCCTTCCAAATAGCTGCGACTTACAGGTGCAAGCCACCACACCTGGCCAATTTTTTAAAGTTTTTTATAGAGATGAAGTTTCACCGTGCTGCCCAGGCTGGTCTTGATCTCCTGGGCTGAAGAGATCCTCCCGTCTCAGCCTTTCAAAGTGCTGGGATTACAGGCGTGAACCACTGTGCCTGGCTCCTCTTGTTTTTAATTCGTATGTTATGCACATTGTTCAGTTACTTGCTTTTTCACTAGATGTCATTTGGCATTAAAAATGTCAGTCAACATAAAAGGATGCACATAATGAAAACTTAAAAGAAAAATACTTAGCTTTTTGGAAAATACTCCCCCAAAGCCTTTATTTTTCTTATTTCTCTGTGACACTGAAAACTTATTCACAGGCTGATATTGGTTAGATTTTTTCCTCTAATTCCAAGTAAAACATACACTTGGACCACTGTAGAGAAATATTTTATCTATTCTGCCTTACTCCACATATGTCACAGCTTTACTTCCTCATTACACACCATACAATCTCTGGGGGTGACATTTGTTCTTGGTATAGCTGATTTCAAATGCAATTATCCATCTTCAATATTGTTATTGACAGTCCAGTGATAAATTACAGATTTTTGGCAGAAGAAGACAATGCCTCCTTCTGGAAACTTACATTGGCTTTTATCTCACTTCCTTGGGGAATAGAGACATACTGGATAAAAGCAGATTTGGCTGCTTGAAAGACCCGAATAGAGCCCCAGGCACTTAGCAGTAGCAGGTGTCAATTGTAATCTGTTCACATCAAAGTTTATTACATTATCCAGGAGGTCTGTGTACCAGGTTTTATCCAGCAACTGCATGTTTTCACCAGTTCCTTAAATTGGGACAGTGTGAAAATTTGTTGCTTCTTTTACAAACCACACTACCATAATCTACTTTTGGTTTAGAAGCCAGCTGTTAGCCCAGCACTGTGTATTATTATAGATTATGTCTGGGGTGTGAGCCAACTTGGACCACTTGGAGAACTTGGGAGTTTTAAAGATGAATTTACCAGACTTAGGACTGTAACTGACCAGAGAAAGGCATATCTATCCAGTTTTTGCCTGATTAAAAGTCAAATATCCACCTGAACTTGGTTTTCTGTGTGTTTTTGTTTGTTTGTTTGTTTGTTTGTTTTGTTTTGTTTTTGAGATGGAGTCTCCCTCTGTCACCCAGGCTGGAGTGCGGTGGCACAATCTCGGCTCACTGCAACCTCTGACTCCTAGGTTCAAGCGATTCTCCTGCCTCAGCCTCCCTGGTAGCTGGGATTACAGGCGCCCGCCACCATGCCCCACTAATTGTTGTATTTTTAGTAGAGATGGGGTTTCACCATGTTGGCCAGGCTGGTCTCAAACTCCTGACCTCAAGTGATCTGCCCGCCTTGGCCTTCCAAAGTGCTGGTATTACAGGCGTGAGCCACTGTGTCCAGCCTGAACTTGGTTTTTAGTTTGTCTTTTTCATTTGTTTATTCAACATGTAGTTACTGAACTCCTACTATGTGCCAGGAGCTAAGGACACAATGTTGAACACAACAAAGTCCCTGCCCTCATGGAACTTACAGTCCAGAGGGGAAACTAGATAAAGAACAAAGCAGGTTTCTTCAAAAGTATCCACCTTTATGTTCCTCTGATGAGAGATGAGGGAGGCCGGAACCGATGGGAGGGGCAGCAACCTGGACCCAAGGTGTCAGGTAAGACTTTCTAGACATCTGAATTGAAGGATGAGTAGGAATTAACTGGGGGAAGAGTGTTTGAAGCAGAGAGAACAGCACGGGTGAAGGCTAGGAGGCAAAATGAAAATAGTCATTGGTTCTTTTGAGAAACTGAAAATTCAGTAAGTTGGAGGATAATTCAAGACATAAAGACAGATGAGAGGCCGTGTGCAGTGGTGCACACCTGTAATCCCAGCACTTTAGGGGCTGAGGTGGGAGGATCCCTTGAGCTCAGGAGTTCGAGACCAGCCTGAGAAACACAGTGAAACTCTGTCTCTACAAAAAATACAAAAATTAGCCAGGCATGGTGGCATGCACCTGTAGTCCCAGCTACTCAGCGGGCTGAGGTGGCAGGATTGCTTGAGTCCCGGGGGTTGAGGCTGCAGTGAGCAGAGATCATACTACGGTACTCCAGCCTGGGTGACAGACCTTGCCTCAAAATAGATTAAATAAGTAAATAAATAAAGTGTTTTTAAAAATCAGAAACAAAGTCACTAAAAAAAGAAAAAAGGAGGCCGGGCACGGTGGGTCATGCCTGTAATCCCAGCATTTTGGGAGGCCGAGGTGGGCGGATCAACTGAGGTTGGAAGTTCAAGACCAGCCTGACCTCCAAGGAGAAGCCTGTCTCTAATAAAAATACAAAATTAGCCGTGTGTGGTGGCACATGTGTGTAATCCCAGCTACTCGGAAGGCTGAGGCAGGAGAATCACTTGAACCCAGGAGGCAGAGCTTGCGGTGAGCTGAGATGGTGCCATTGCACTCCATCCTGGAAAACAAGAGTGAAACTCCATCTTAAAAAAGAAAGAAAGAAAGAAGGAAAGAAAGAAAGAAAGAAAGAAAGAAAGAAGGAAAGAAAGAAAGAGAGAAAGAGAGAGAGGGAGGGAGGGAAAGAAAGAAGGAAAGAAAGAAAGAAAAGGAAGGAAGGAAGGAAGGAAGGAAAGAAAGAAAGAAAGAAAGAAAGAAAGAAAGAAAGAAAGAAAGAAAGAAAGAAAGAAAGAAAGAAAGAAAGAAAGAAAGAGAGAAAAAGCAAGCAAGCAAGCAGGCAGGCTTAAAAAAAAGGGAATAAAGACAGATAAGGCAGACAGTTTGGTGGGGGCCAAATAATGCAGGCTTCTGTCATAGAGCTTTTGATTTTATTTTGGAGGCAATGAGGGAATACTGAAGTGTTTAGGTTGGTGAGTGAGGTAGCCATATTTGTTTTTAAAAGATTACTCTTGGCCGGGCGCGGTGGCTCACACCTGTAATCCCAGCACTTTCGGAGGCCAAGGTGGGCAGATCACGAGGTCAGGAGATTGAGACTATCCTGGCTGACACAGTGAAACCCCATCTCTACTAAAAATACGAAAAATGAGCCAGGCGTGGTGGCAGACACCTGTAGTCCCAGCTACTCGGGAGGCTGAGGCAGGAGAATGGCATGAACTCAGAAGGCGGAGCTTGCAGTGAGCCAAGATCGTGCCACTGCACTCCAGCCTGGGCAACAGAGCGAGACTCTGTCTCAAAACAGCAACAAAAATGATTAGTCTTGTTGCAGCAAAGAAGATGTCCTAGAAGGGGCAAAGTTGGAAGTAACAAGAACAGTTAAGTAAGAGGCTGTTGCATACAATAGGGATGGAAAAAAGTGGACCAGTTAAAGGAAGAACCTATAGGATCTGGCATTTGAGCCTAAGTGATCCAGGACTGTGGGTAGAACCCACAGGATCTGGCAATGTTGGAAAGAGTTAATGATGACTTTCAGATTTTTCACTTGGACAGTTAGGTAGGTGGTGGTGGGAGGGGGATAGCACAGGGGATGTTTTGAGGCAGAAGTTGCCTTCTTGGCAAAAGCAAAAGTTTCTGTGGCTTTTCTGGTTTTCCTCTTTTCTAAACTATGAAATCAGATACCAATCCTTGCCTTATATTTTATGCCAAATAGCATTCAAGACTGATTGCAGTTTTCCATGAATGACCTGCAAGTATGAGAGATGTGATTTAACTTATAAAAGCTTGGCATTTTGGAGCAGTTCAAAAATTTATATGCTTCTGTCACTTCTCAACGTACGAGACACGTGGATAAAATTTAGCGCTTGCAGTATCGTATCACATGACGTTTGGTTGGTCACTCTCTGGAGTTTTTTCTCTTAATTTTTAAAAATCGAAAATCTAACACATGCACGTGGTTTTTAAAATGATCTAGTACCAACTGCTAAATCTAAGTGGAAATAGTAAATACTAAATGGAAAGCAGCAACCCTCTCTGCAGATTCTACTCTTTAGAAACAACCACTTTCAATATTTCTTCTGGTATTTACTTCCATATTTCTACATAATGTCCTTATGCTTCTGTTTCTGTTTTTTAAATTAAAGTGTCTAAATAAGTAATGAAATCACATTGTTCTAAAATAGAACATATAAAAAGATGTACAGTAAAGAGCAGTTCTCTTCCTCTTGTCCTCTATCTGATTCCTACCCAACTTCATTTTCTCAGGTAACCATTACTATTTGTTTTTTGTGTATGCCTATATATGAGAAAATACCATTATACATTTAGTCCTTTTCCCATTTGCCCCAAGAATACTCGCTGGTGGTGCTTGCCACTGCAGCATTTGCCCTAAGATAACTATGCCACAAAATATCTTGCTCGTATTATTATTTTTGCATCGCTACTCTAGTATATCGACTTTGGAAACAAAAGACATAATTCTAATATTTATAGCATTCTGTTTTTAGTGGTGGTATTTCCATTTACAAAATATAGTATTTCTCGATCGCTGAAGGTGGCAAATCCTAAAAACTGTAGCATGCCTACATGTGATGTTAACATTGTTCTCAAACAGTTGTTGGCTGAAGATTCATTTGATGAATTCAATTTTTCTGAAATAGATGATTCTGGTTATTCAGACAATTATGATGTTAGCTCTGTTTAGAAATTACTCCAAGAACAGTTTTCATATTTTATATTTGCATTGAAAATCAGTCAGATTTGCTTCAGCCTCTAAGAGCATGTTTATGTAAAATGAAATGAGCGCTGGCAGCGAGCTGCACTTTTTTTTGAGAGGAAGTCTTGCTTTAACACCTAGGCTGGAGTACAGTGGCACAATCTCGGCTCACTGCAACCTCCGCCTCCCAGGTTCAAGCAATTCCCCTGCCTCAGCCTCACTGGTAGCTGGGATTACAGGTGGGCATCACCATGCCTGACTAAGTTTTGTATTTTTAGTAGGGATGGGGTTTTGACTTGTTGGCCCAGGCTGGTCTCCAACTCCTAACCTCAGGTAATCTGTCCGCCTTGGCCTCCCAAAATGCTGGGATTAGAGGCATAAGCCACCACACCTGGCCCGCTTTGTTTCTCTAAACAAGAAAAGGGTTAATTTTTCTGCCTTTTGCTTTGTTTACACAGAAGGTGATATACTATCCTGTATCAGTCACAATAAAGGTGAATATGTTGCAGTAACAAACAATTCATGCATCTTTGTGGCTTCTTTCTCCCACATGGTGTGTGTCCATCCTGGGCTGGCTGGGGATTCACATTTTCCTCACCCAGGATTGCAAACCAACTGAGTGTCTACCATCTGGAGGGTCATATTTGTGATGGA